ACTAACTCGTTTCATGTACTATAACTATTACATAACATTTACAAGTCTTGTAATTCTTGTTTGTATTCAACGGAATTACTTTCCTTACCAGGTAGGCATCAGTGAAAGCATTTTTTATATTAAATATATATCTTTTCCCTCTTTTTAATTATGGACAGTGCATAAGATAAGTATAATTATGCAAAAAATGGTTTACAAAACATTCGGAAAAAATCTACAATAGTACTTAATCTGAATATAACATGACCTGTGCGTAGGAATAATTTGGTAAGGTATCTGTAATGAGCACATTTTTTTTTTGCGCGGAGCTTCTCAATTGCTGCATTGCAGCAACATTTGTACTTGTAATCTGCAGCATTAACGCCGACTAAGTAAATTTCAGCCTTTATATGTCATAAGGCGATGAACATTATTACCTCGAGAAAATAATGTCATAATCTAGCAAATGAATATCCACTTACTGAAGTTACAGCTGTAATATGCAAATGGCGTTATGTCTTGAAAAGGGAGTTAATTATGCGCTGCTAAACTTAAGATACATATGGTATTGTATGCGTGTAACTGACAGACATAATAGATCAAGCACACATTCATGAATATAGAAAAATGAATTTCTTCATGTTAATTGCTCTATTTAAAGTGCAATTTGGTCGTACTGAATCATAACATTTTGTATTGTAACTGTTTGCTAAAAAGCTTTTTCGGTGCATATATCGCATTAATTTAATTAACTTTTCTATCTTGAGAAAATATTAGAAATGATAGTTTAACGTCTCAATTCCGACTTAAAGGGCGCAAAGAATAGAAGAATTGATAAAAGATTGACCTTGATTTTCTGTCAGAATGTTTGTCACTTTCATGGTATTTCTGCCATCGACGGCAGCATTTAAAATAGGTATCTGCCTACAACGGCAGCATTTTTTCTTCGACCGGACAAGATTGAACGTCTGTAAAACTTTCAAGACAAGACTCACGGGGTAGATATTTTGCTTGCGTGACCCCAGTGGATGGACGTCTTTATTAATAACACGAAATCCTGCCATTTAGTTAAAATTTGAGATATTTTGAACAAAAAAAACAGACATTTTCACGGATTTTTCCGAAGCCTTAACTTTTAATCTGCTCAAAATAGTCTAAAAACAGGAAAAACGAGTCCAAAATTACCTAATAGTATCTCCAGTCAATGGACAATAGTTTCATAGCAATGAAATGGGCCGTATTTGTGTAATATAATAATACAAACCAAATTTATAACCTACCTGTACCGAGCGGTAAATTTCAGGTATCTGCCATCACTGCAGTGATCTGCCATCACTGGCGCCGGTAATACGGAATCAGTCCACAGTTATTTGCATTTCGTTGACCACAATAAGGAAGTAAATCCGCATAAAAGAGTGCCTGTGTTTAATGCCAGATATAAATGAATAATTGAATGAAAGAGATAGAAAAAGGACATTTTCTGACAGAATTCATTTCAAATAGTTGGTAAATGCCAATTTTGATCCAGATTTTATGTGAGTAAGTATTTTTTAGTGTTTTTCTACATGACAGAATTCACATGGTTCCGGCTAATTACTGAAAACTGTCAGACTGATGTTTTTTGGACTGAAATGCTGTGAAAAAATGATGAATGACCCCTAGTTTGCTATAGCTGGAATTATTTATCTTGGATGATACTGTAAGCACAAGTGACTTTGATTTGATTGGAGAGTTAGTAAAATTGCCACAGGGTTTAATGTTTATATAGAACATATAGTGAAATTAATTGTGGTCTGAGGCCATACGGTGTGAGAATGCTTCAAATGTTTTCGTATCATAGCAACCATGCATTGACTACAACAAAGAAAGAAGAACGTGTCCATTATGTTATCATTATGTAGGTGACGAATTTCATTACCTTTATGGATGCTTAAAAAACACGAAATTTAAGGGCAATACTAGAACATTATGCGAATTGAGAGAAACAAACGGAACGAAGATGGACATCTAGATTTACTATAATATATTAATGTTGCACTATAATTTTAAACAACATAAAATATAGCTTACAAAAAAGCGTATCGTATTTCCCTTATATCTGAATTACACATTTAGTCACAATTCAAAACATTTAATAGAAAGTGAAATAAATGTACATACGGGAGTTAATATTTTATGAATAAAAATAACAAATAGGAAGAGCTATAAAAAACGAATAGCTTGAAAATTGCACAAACAGTTTGTCTTTGCCTGTTTAAATATGAATAAAGATGGTACAGATGATAATAGGGTATGTAAGTCTCGTCATGTGACTTGCGAGATTTCACGATATTTTGCACTTCCGGGTACAAACAAACATCAACATCATTGCTTATCTATATTGGGTAATACTTGTATGCCGATGGGAAAGTAAAACTTACATGGAAAAGCAAATGATATGTGGAAATTGGCAGAGTTTTTTGTTTTGTAACGAAATGCAAATGGTTTCATCTTGTGAACAAGTATCAATGAAAGACAACTTCGTATAATCTTTTCAGGTGGGTGTGTCATTTCAAATTCAGTTTATCCCAATAAATGTTGTAATATTTTCATTTCCATGTAAATCTAATAAATTTGTTTTTTGATACAACATCATTCGCATCTGACACCAGACTGGTGAATTTGATTTTATCATTTTTCTATAGCGCTACCTGATTATCTCTCAGAAGTATATAATGTTCAGAAATTTCGGACAGCGCATATTTCGGATAAACGTTTCAATATGATTATCAGTGTGTTTTAGTTGAATATATTTTCTTCCAACTGAAAATATTATTTATTTATAATTATTATCTTTATAAAGCACAAACAGTCAATCTGTATATAACCAATTTAAATTGTCATAAAATTCAATGAAATATTTTGCTCCTGTATTTAGACTGAGGACAGTGGTGAGATGAAAGACGTGAACTGGTATCCGATGTAAATACACATGCATGCTCTGCTGTAAAATCGGTTTGGTAAGAAATATATACTTAAAGCTACTTAAACTACATTAATGAAAAATAAATATTATTGTATTACATATAATGTTCTCGTTTTTGTAAATAATTACAGTGTAGCTAAATAAACAAACAGTATGGCATATGCAGTTAATTCATGTTAAATACTGTTTAAAGTATTTTTCTCAATTGAGTGGGTCATATTTTTAGTTAAACTAGGACACCAAGAAGTGTTTCTTCCTTTTCAACATTATTTTCTATTCATGACAATATGAAAATGCTTGAAAATTATAGCTGACCAATTATTATTGCTTTCAACTCATGATAAATTTTCTTTATATACAGGTATGTGATTTCTTGGTTGGATCTTGAGTACTTGTCATGGCTCTTGATTTATTTTGGAGTGTTCACCATCAGATTAGAAGTCAAATAGTGATACCACCAGGCATAGTTGAAAGGAAATGTCCATACACAGTCTTGGAGTACATAGTGGTAGAGACATGGCAGTCCATTACAGATTTTGACTGAATTAAAGCTTCTTAAAGCTCCATGTCTTGTGTAAACTGTCTGACTGAATGTTTGTATTCTAATAAAAACTAAGGTTGAAGACACTTCAAAGATATATGTCAGTGTAAAAATGTTAAACAAAATATCTGTCTTTGTTAGAAATAAATAACCTGTCTTTATTAGAAATAATTAACCTGTCATTTGTAACTTTGTATTAACTTAATTATTCAAAGATAATTTATCTTCTGCAAATGGCTGCCCAAAACAGTTTCAACCAGGCATCATGTAGTTTCAAAACAGTTAAGATAAATTTGTTATAAATAGACTTGTAAAGTAACAGGAATGGTAAAAAGATAAATGTTCAGCATTAAAATGTTTCTATCTTGATTGAGTTTCATTTCATATTATCACCATGATCACTCACTGCAATTGTAAAAGTAATGTAATCTTTAACCATTATTTAAATATCATAAAAAATCATCTCAAAGAAAAACTTGTTTTCTGAGGCAAGATGTGTAAAATTCCTTCCAGTTATAGCCTTTTCACTGCTCTTAGAAAAGCCATGATTTGCATTGTACATGGCAGGTAGTAATACCAGAGTAAACAATATTAATGCAATTCATCTGTGTTGAGTATTCTGTAGCAAAACACTAGCTTGCTAGCCCTTGTAAGCCCAAGTCTCTCTCTTAATTGGAGAAGACTTGCAATTCTGCATTCCTTGAAGATTTTAGTATCAGAGGGGTAGTTATTACATACCATATACTTCTTTGGGTTTCAAATTACCTGTTTTATAATGTATTGAACCTGTTGACATTTGACCAAAAGTGAATTATCTATACAATACATGAAAAACTTAGAGTTTGCACTTGATACAAAACAATTACATCACTGATACATTAATATGCCCATTGGAACTGTTTCAAAATTGTCAATGTTTCAAAAAACAAACAAACAAAAAACACCACACAATGCTTTTAACTTCTGTCCATGTACATATGTGTAAATGTAGTCATTGAAGAGCTGTCAAGAACTTTTCATCAATATTATTTAGATAGTGTCTGTTTCGATTTCAGGACAGACAAAATTCAAATGACATGCATAGTATTTAATATAGTCATGATGCTTGCATATTCAAGCAATCTAGCCATTGATGTTAGAGAATTAAAGTACACAGTGACACTTATTTTGCAGATGAACTCTTATGATCAAGCACTGCTATAAATATATGCCAAATAGTAGAAACAAAAAACAGTTCATAAGTTAATAAACTTTTATTTTTACAACAATTTATAGTGCACTGGCTTAGCATATATATCACACTGATTTCCAGTGGAAGAAAAACTTCAGGAAAGCACTTGGATTTATTATTAGTTATTTGGACAATGTAACTTTACACTGTGAATGTCTACTGATACAAGAATAAGAAATATTCCTTTACAAATGTAAAGACTTTGAAAATTAACATGAACAAATTATCATAGAGTAATAAATCATATTCTAATTGAAAAAATGTTCAGCTTGATATCAAAAGCTTTGAATGCAAATTTGTGAGCTTATCAATGATTACCTCACAATATTAGTAGTAGATGATATATAATATTTTTGCTAATCTTTACTTCATAGTCATTTAATGTCCATAATGTCATATGACTATACTGTGATTCCATGAAAAACTTTATCTCTGGTGTGTTATCAGCTTTGGTATATATATCTAGTATCTAGTTTTAATACTTAAAACTGCAATGAAATGTGGATATTTTACTCTGTTTCTATCATTGTGACATTAACATGTTCATAGTGTCAAACACCATAAAATCATACTCTTTACACATTAAGATTTTTGTGCTGGATTTCATTCATCTTCTTCAGGAAAGTACATTTGACTATTCTCAGTGGCTTATATTAAACTAATATTTCACTGTAACTGTGTGTTCTCTGATATCATTCTCAAATTAAGGAACTGGAAGATGGTAGTTGCAATAAAGGTCTTCATGGACAAACCCTCCTTCATCTTTTCCCTTTTTATCTACAGAATGAAAAATCAATAAATATGTTGTTACAAGTGTAAGACACTAGAATGATATTTACATACATTTAATAAGCTGGTCATGATTGACAGAAAATTTCATATTTGAAAGTAAATAAACATTAAAGATAAAACAACAGCACATAATATATAACAGTCAAAAAATATTGATCTTCTTGAATTTGAAACATGACTATTTTTAATGTTTTATTCACTTATCAATTATCATGCAGTGAAATCTAAGTTATTAATATATTTGGATAATTGTTTATCTTTCCAATCTCAACTAAAAATTAATCAATTGTTTTACATGTATTTACCTTTGATGTATAGATATTTCAGGATCATAGGCAGTGCAAACAGTTGATTAATGGCCCATATTGAACAACTGTATATTCTATACTTATCATATACCTCCTTGTCTATACATCTGAAATGGTTTAATCAAATATAATATTTTTTAAATCAATCATAATTTGCTAGGTACCATATTAACATGTATATATATATAACTGAAAAAGGAACAAGAATAAAACGGAAGGGAAAAAATATCCGAATTAAGTACTGTGCAATGTCCGAATTTTGTATAACTTTAATATACACTAGAATTAAAATGTTTCTCCATTGTTTATTTCAACAAGTTAAAATGGTTTGAATTAATTTCTCACATCAGTAGTTTTAAAACAATACTAAAAGCTAAACAACTAGAATTCACTACCTTGACAAAACATCCGAAACAATTGTCACTATCCGAAAATAAACTAGTTTTATTAAACTCTATAAATCCCTCGTTTTTCCGTCAGATAATTGACCTACCTGCATTTTTTGACCCGTGCTACCCATTCCTTCAAATCTGAAGAGGACCGAAACAAATTTAACTTCTATACCCCTCGAGTTCTTCGGGTTACCTATATGCGTTACGGTAAATAAGTCTGCCGATGTACCCGGAAGTGGTAAATCGAAAGTGAAAGTAAACGAGACTTACGGGCCCTATTTGTTCGGAGAAAAAAATTGCAAAGAAATTTTTTCAAAGGGTGGAGTGTACAATCTATGCTTCATTTTCTAAACTAAAGGCTATTAACGTAAATGCAATCTATGCTTCATTTTCTAAACTGAAGGCTATTAACGAAAAGGATAGCAGTTTGAAAATTCTAAACTAAAGGCTATTTACGTAAAGGATAGCAGTTGAAAATTCTAAACTAAAGGCTATTTAGCTAAAGGATAGTAGTTGAAAATTCTAAACGAAAGGCTATTAACGTAAAGGATAGCAGTTAAAAATTCTAAACTAAAGGCTATTAACGTAAAGGATAGCAGTTGAAAATTCTAAACTAAAGGCTATTAACGTAAAGGATAGCAGTTGAAAATTTAAACTAAAGGCTATTAACGTAAAGGAAAGCAGTTGAAAATTTAAACTAAAGGCTATTAACGTAAAGGATAGCAGTTGAAAATTTTAAACTAAAGGCTATTAACGTAAAGGATAGCAGTTGAAAATTTTAAACTAAAGGCTATTAACGTAAAGGATAGCAGTTGAAAATTTAAACTAAAGGCTATTAACGTAAAGGATAGCAGTTGAAAATTTACATTTTTGCCCAAGTAACATGCCATCTTAGGTCCACAGAGTCATTTTTAGCTCGACTTTTTTTTAAAAAAAAGTTATAAAAAAGTAGAGGTATTGTTATAGTCGCGGCGGCGTTGCCGTTGCCGTCCGCAAACTTGTACCTGGATCATAACTTTTTTAATAACTTGGTGTATTGTCTTCATACTTGGCCACAACAACCCTTGGAACAAGACCTTTGAGAAGACCACACTAACCTTGACCTTCATCCATAAATGACCTTGACCTTCAAGGTCAAAAGTCCAAATTTTGCTTGTTCTTGCTGTTATTGGCTGTAACTTTGTTATTTTTTTAATGGATTGTCTTCAAAGTTCAAACTTGAACATAATAATCTTCAAGGATATCCCTTAAAAATAACCAGACAGACATTGACCTTCACTCATAAATGACCTTGACTTTGAAGGTCAAATTATTGAAATTTTCATTTTTTTGACTATTATTGGCTGTAACTTTGTTATTTTTGAATGGATTGTCTTCAAACTTGAACATAATAATCTTCAAGGATAACCCTTAAAAATAACCAGACAGACCTTGACCTTCACTCATAAATGACCTTGACTTTGAAAGTCAAATTATTGAAATTTTCATTTTTTTTTTGGCTGTAACTTTGCTATTATTGAATGGATCGACTTCATATTATAACAGAACATTCTCAAGTTTCACAGATTTGTGCATTAAATGACCATATATATTTATTCGTGCCTGAAATAATGCACGGAAGGGCACCTACGTCGCGATATGACCTATACTGTGTCAATGTGACGTAAAACCCAAAACAAACAAACAATATATATATATATATATAGTTCGATGGTGAAAACGCGATGGTACGATCGCGATTTTCACCATTGTACCATCGCGTTTTTATCATCGTACTATCGTGGTTTCACCATCGTACCATCGCGTTTTTACCATCGTACCATACTGCATCGCGCGCAAATACTAAATAAAAAGTCACAGCTCTCCAAACGGAACACCGTAATTTTGCCATTAAAACTTTCACAAAAGCGGACGATGGAGAACTTCCTTATATTTCAAACAAATTTGCAAACTGTAAAGTACAAAGCAGAACCCGTACAGAGTACAAACTCTTCAATACCCGGAATGCGGCATTGACGTCGATTATTGTGAATGTGAATTAGAATGTGAGTATTGCGGTTTCTATGGTGATGAGAGTAAATGTGTTTGTGCTGATTGTTATTTGTTTACGAGTACGAATGTGACGATAAAGAAATTGGTCCGGACAAACCTCATAGGAGTGATTTATGTGAGAAATGTGAAGCCGGGATTCCGTGTCATGGTTGGAGAAGAAGAGGGCGGAGACGTACGGGAAGAGGAAGAGGCGAGATTGATAACTCTACTATTACAATGGTTCTTCAAAAAGAATTTATTTTGAAATAAACTTCTCATATCAAATGGAAATACTATTTAAAACAATGATTTTTCTTATACTTAAACGATACGTTGTTTACAAACAATCATTTCAGTGTAATATGGTTCAATCCTTTTGCTATGTAAGACTAGTATTTAAATTTTTTGTTTAAAACAAATTCCCTGTCTTCTGTTATTGAAACCCTGTAGCACCGCACTTTGGAGCCAAACGCACATTTGGGTCCGACCCCAAATTGTGTTATTTTGGGTCCAACTGAAGCGATAGTGCCATATTATGGAAGTGCCATGTTTGAATAACATATTCTTATTATTTTTATCTTTTTTTATTTACCTAATAAATTACGTGTCAATGAGCAAGTCTGTAGTCTAATGACGGAAACCAAATTCGGACAAGGAACAAGAGGTGCGACTAATTACTCAACGGAGATTTTTTTGGCGCAACAGGCGCAACGGACATTTTTCTTTTGCAAAACAGGCACAACGTATGTTATTCATAAAAAAAAGCAACAATTAATTTATAAAACAGATTAACTGAATGAATAGTAAGTTTGTTTTAAAATGTATCACATATATTTGCAATAGGTTGTTTTAAAGGATTCTGTGAAGAATTTTTCTCTTTGCTTTGATTTTATTTTATCATTACATTTAGTGGTTCTATAGGCGGTCCGTTGCTATGAAAAATTGACCGGAAGTAGTATTTTCTCGCGCATGCGCAATCTGCGTAGGGCAAAAAAGCGTTGTCCTACAAAGAAATGTAGTAGAAGTTCATAGATAATTCCGAGTTAGTTTAAGGTAAAAATTAGGAAATCATATAAAATAGTTTTTTACACAAACATGAAAGATACATTTATAGCTTTGTGACCAAAATTGCCACAAAAAGGCTCAGAAAAGACGATTGTTTAAGAATTCCCCCTTACGATCACGGACATGACAATGAGATAATTGTTGTAAAAAATGTCGAAATATATATATTATCAAATAAAAAAGTCAATTTAATTGTTGTTGAAATTGTTCTTATAAAAACTAAAGAAAATTTATAACATATAAAATAGAGGTTTATATAAGTCGAAACACGTGATAATTGATGTATTTTTAGTTTTCAGCTTACCTAATATTATCCTTTATCCGACTTGACTGTGATGCCAAGCAGAAACTTTTTAAGACACATAGATATATTTAAATAATGTTTCAAACTCTTGATAGGTTAAGATGTTTTATGAAATAACACACATTTTATCCGGTTTCTCGTAAATGAAATAACACACATTTTATCCGGTTTCTCGTAAATGAAATAACACACATTTTATCCGGTTTCTCGTAAATGAAATAACACACATTTTATCCGGTTTCTCGTAAAACATTAAAAGCACGTCACGTACACTATTTAATTGTCACTCCACAAAATTAATAAACATTGATGGTATAAACTTAAAAAGTCACTTAAATTACTATAATTTCATAATTTTATGTGATTAACTATGTCATGGTACTAAAACTTCCCGGTTGAATGATGACTGAAAAACTATAGCTGGCAAATAACAATTAAGCGATCACTCGATCACGTGTCAATCCGTTTGACACTTACCGCCTTTCCAATCCACTTTCAAAAGAGTACCAATTGTGTAATATTATGTAATACATGGGTAATAAAACTGTATCTTTAACACCCTGCTGTTTCAATCTAAATTACTGATGAAAAGTCATTGAATGATACCTTGAACAAGACTTTTGGTCATTGAATAATTAGTCCCGCTAACTTTGTATATCTGTTATAAATATCAATTCAAGTTTGAAGTACTTACCGCTTTAATTCATCACAAAATTCAGTTTTCTGGGTGACATAACTTATAATCACGTCTTTAATAGCCTTCAAGTACGCTTAATGTAGTCTATCGTTATTGCGCTTTTGCCCTACGCAGAATGCGCATGCGCGAAATGCAACATCGGTTGCTATAGAAAAATCGTACTGCAAAAAGGTCTAAACCTAAATTTCCGGAAACAACTATTCAATATTGTTTAAATTAAATAGTTTAATCTTATATATATATGTCAACAATACGTTACTAAAGAGTGGTTATATTTAACAATTTATTCATAACTATAAATGATAATTCAGACATATTTTTGCTATTTGTAAAATAACATAATTGTTCGTCAAATGCAATTCGCACCAATATTTCGACCAATATGAATATTTTTAGGACACTGATAAGTAAACCAATCATTTCATTTTTATCTGATATCCAATCTGTTTTGCTTCTTCCAGACCTTCCAATCTCTGCGCAACAGACAAACATTTCAAAAATGGCATTACTTTGTGAGTTTTCGCATTAGGTTCTTTTTTTTTTTCACAAAAAAACACTTTATTGTTAAACAACGGGCACGTACCAAAGAAAAAAAAAGGGAAAAAACCCATTTTAGTTTTTTCGGAAAAATTCCCAACTGAAATTTAGAAAAATTGTAGGGTTTGTTTTTTACATTACAGGGAAACTGTTCCCCCAATTTTGATGTCCCAAGCATCAAAAAATTTTAAAAAATGTTTTCCCGGGAAGTGCTAAACTTCCGGTATTCATGCACACACTTAATAGTGCAATTCCAATGGTGGGATACTACGTCATCGCGCACCTGTTGAATGCTCCCACTTGGACCATTTTTTCGTCGACTCTTACTATTTCCAGGGTCTTTCAAATAGAATACGATTTAATAACATCTATTCTCTGTAAAATCAATTTCTATTTTGTCATTGAACAATGCATAAATTTAAAAAAAGCTCATGAAACTCTGACCTATTTTCAAATATGAGCGGTAGATTTTTACCTTGATACCGGGAACAAAAAATTCTTAATTTCATTGCAAATCTATAAATTTGTTACTTTTAAAGTAAAAACTATTAATATAATGTAGTCAGAGTTAGTTTTTAGTAATTTGTTTTATTGATTAAAAAAAATTATGTTATAATTTGATTTTTGAATGGTGA